ATTCTGCGAACTCGCAGAAAAAAAGTATTGAACGAAATAGCAAAAATACGTCATACGTTGGTTTACTGTAAAATAAAAAATGTCCATAGAGAGCATGCAAGAAGGAAAGAAAGAGAAATTCCATCAGTAAGCAGAGTCGAAAGGTAGGTGGAACGAAGAAAGATAAACGAGCGAACGAGAAAGGAAAGAGAATCGAGGGGGTGGAAGAGGGAAGGAGACAGTTTACTGGGGTAGGATGAGACCCCACAAAGGCAGTGGGGCTCTTTTGATTCGCGAGCTAATTGGAATGCCGCGGATGCCAACGACGATGGAACAGGGGGTTGGGTTATCCCCTCGTCGAGGGTGGGGGGTTCCACGGGGGTCCTTGGAAGTCCCGGTGTAACCCAGGGATAGGCGGAGCTTACATCCCCCGCTGTGGGGGTGTAGCTCGAGATATCGAGGCTTATCACCTCCGCTCTTTCTGCTACGAATTTCATCCGAACTGATTTCTTCGACCCTTCCGCGGAAAATGGACCCAACGGCCTTCGTGGTGTATTTCTTTCCACGGTTCTTCAGATCTCTTAATCCTATTTCCTTTCTTTACTTTTATATTCATTTATTACTACATTACTGTAATGGCTATTAGTTCTTACTGTTGTATAGTAGCTTTACGTATCAGTTACATAGAACAATTATGTTTTTATATTTTTTTCAGTTGCTCTCAAGTTTTACAAACTTTTTGATTTGAAGATACTTTAGTCTTTTAAAAATATTTTCAACTTAATTTTTTTTTTTAATGAATGACTAAATTTGCTTGTGGTTGATTTGTTAAGCTATATTTTACAAGAAAATTGTAGGTTAACCTATTTTACCACGGTGTGTATGTTGAGTACCATGAGTACAATGCATTCATTGACTTTTTTAATTTTTATAAATATTTTGATTGAGTAAAATACACATTGAGTACCATGAAAACATACATTGAGTACCATGAGTACAATGCACTCATTGACTTTCTCAATTTTCACAAATATTTTGATTAAGTAAAATACACATTGAGTACCATGAAAACATACATTGAGTACCATGAGTAAAATGCATCCATTGACTTTCTCAATTTTTACAAACATTTTGATTTAAAGATTTTTGCCTTTTAAAAATTCTTTCAACTTAATTTTTTTTTTTAGTAAATGACTCAATTTTTTTATGATTGACTTAACCTATATTTCACAAGAAAATTGTAGGTTAATCTATTTTTCCCCAGGGTACACTGCAGTACATTACTGCATACATTGACTTTCATAACACATGAGATGCTCACATGTGAGCACATGAGTACATGAAGTCCTATGAGCACATGAAGTGCTAGTGTATTCATATGAGTACATAAAGTTTGTAATAATTTATTATAAACAAAAAGTGTTATTTGCTCTACAAAGTCGTTTTGAATACCTACACAATTTTTTTAAAAAAGAAAAATACTCCTAAACAAATAGGTTATGAACACTTATGAACATCAGAAAGGACTTCAAGAAATAATTCTACACAAACATTTTCTTGAAGAATAACTTCTTCAAAGTTTAACATACTTTAATAACTAACCTTCAATAATAAAATATATCTAATATGAATTATAGTAGACTTGTTGTGTATATAATTAAACAGTTACGACCAGTAAACACAAATTTTCTTTGTAAGGATTACATCTGATGAAATTAATTAGCAATTCACCGCAATACCGTCACAGTTTGCGTGTCTATTACTTGACAAGGAATCGTAGACGGCATTTACGTAAACAACGACTCTATTAACGCGATTAGGTGTAATGGAGGCAACGTCGAACGAGGCCTCGGATTAGAACGACGAGAAGCATCGTTTGCGGATCGATATCCTGGATGCTTTCGTTGGATAGCGAAGTCCGTACGATTCTCCATCGAAGCTTTGCTTTCTTTGTAGCCTTTTGACATGGGTCGACGGCTAATTTATCACCGCGACAAAAGGGCTGCGCGTAACGAGCGAATATTAGTTACCAACGTCAACCGCGTCAGATTTTTACGTGGATAGTTCGACCGCTGCAGTTTTCGTTCGATGTTCGAATAAATAGAATTCGATTTTACTGAATTTGGTATACAAGATTTAACTACCTTGTTGTTGTACTGGGGCGGTATTTGTGGTGGTGAATTAATTGTTAATTAGTGTTTTGTGTTATAGGTGGAATGGGTGAGGTTACTTTTTTAATGGACACTTATTTTGATTTATAGTTATGCGTAGTTATATACAGTCAGTGTAAAAAGTATTCGTACAGTAATTAATTTCAACGAAAATGTTGTGAAACGTCATTTATTAACAAAATTTGAACAAATAGAAAATACATACACATTCTTACATAGAATACATAGACATCTAAGAATATGTATGTATTTTTTATTTGTTAAAATTTTGTTAATAAATGACGTTTCACAACATTTTTGTTGAAATTAATTGCTGTACGAATACTTTTTACACTGACTGTATAGAGATTTTGTAGTTTTTGTTTAGTGCAATTGTTATTTTGAAATTAGAGTTTTGATAGGATAATTTGGGAACTGGTATGTGGAAAATAGGGGATGTAAAAATTTGGGGATCTAGAAATTGGGGGTGTGAGAATTTTTGGGAAGTAAAAAATTGGGGTTGTAGAAATTAGGGAAAGTAGAAACTTGGGGTTATAAAAATTGAGAAGAAGGTGGAAACTTGGGGTTATAGAAATTAGGGAAAATTGAAATTTGGAAATATAGGAATTTGAGAAAGTAGGAACTTATGACACACAAAATTAAGAAAATTTGGAATTTGTATCAGAGAAATTTGGAAAAGTGGAAATTTAGATATACGGAAGTCCGAAAAGGCAGAAATTTAGAAATACAGAAAACTAAAACATACCAACATATAAAATCACTGTTATATAACCTAACTATTAAGCTAGCTATTATAACCTAAAAATGACAATCTTAAAAGTTCAAAACCTAATACTACAAATAATCAATACTCAAAATTGTTTAATACTTCACTCGAAACCAATAAAAAATTCTAAACATAGATATATAACAAATCAACCAGTAACTAACCTGCAAGTGACCACCGATCACTTATCGAACGCCCAGATATCAAGCAGCAAAATGAATAACCCTCACCAGAGAAGAAAAATAAAAAGTGAACATGAAAAGAGTTAACGTAGAGTAAAATGTAGAATTAACATAGAGTTAAATATAGAGTTAATGCAGATTAACCTCAAAATACAAACGACCACCTTAAACCTTAAAACATCTTTATGTAACTTTCGGTAGGCCGTCAACTTCGACCGCAATAAATAATATCCGCTTTCGACGCGGCGATATAATAAAGATATTAAGTTTAATTGAACAAAGCGTTGCCTTCCGACTCGACGAGAGAACGACAGAGTTTCTGGTCGTTATTAATATTTAAACAAAAGCTCCGACGAAAGCCGGTGCCTTTGTGGTCGCACAAAAAGCTACCCCCATTCCTGGGCTCGTGGCCAGGCAAATAAAATCCTGGAAAGAGCGTAAGACATTAATTAATTAGTGTCAATTGCGTATCTGGAGAAAATAAACGGTGTCTTCGTTTTACTCTTGAATGACAATTTTCGTGGTCGCACGATTACTTTTTATATTTTTGAAGGATAAAAAATAAACTCGTTATGAAAAAGGTTATTTTTATCGCTTTAACTTAATCTTAAAGGGAGTTATAGGGAGGGAGTTTTAGGAGTTTTAGGGGAGTTCTAGGGAGATTGATTCTGGGGAGATTTCATTAAGGTTCCAGTATCTAGGGGATATTGTTGCAGTTCGATGGTAGCTCTAGACAGATTCTAGGAAGTTTCATTTAGGTTCCAAGAAGATTCTAGGGATTTCCTTGAAGTTTCAAACGGACTCTAGGAAGATTTTATTGAAGATCTAGGAAGATTCTAGGGAAATTTCAATGAGGTTCTAAGAAGATTCTAGGGAAAATTCAGTGAGGTTCTAAGCAGATTCTAGGGAAAATTCAGTGAGGTTCTAAGAAGATTCTAGGGAAATTCGAGTTAGGTTCTAAGCAGATTGTAAGGAAATTTCATTCGGGTGTCAATAGTTTCTAGGGGATTTTGCTGAAGTTCCAAAAAGGTTCTAGGGAAATTTCAGTAAAATTCTAAGTAGATTCTAGGGAAATTTTATGAAGATTTCAAGAAAATTCCATGAAAATTCGATATTCAATGTAGACTCTAGGGAAATTAAAAAATTCTAAATAAATTCTAGGAAAGTCCTACAGAGGATCCAGGTAGACCCTAAGGAGATTTCATGGAAGTTTTAGGGAAATTTTAGGAAGTGATTCGCCGGAGATTTCATGGTAGATTCTAGGGAGATTCATAGATCCTAGAAAAATTATATAGAAGTCCATAAATCCTAGCAAAATTGCATGGAACTGTTAAGTAAATCTAGGGAGATCTAGGGAGATTATAGAAAGACTTTAAGCAAATCTTAGGGAAATTTCAAAGTGATTCCAGGTAGTACTATAGAAGATGTGGAGGAACTATAGAGGTTCTAAATTGAGTCTAGATCACAGAAAGGTTTTAGGAAAATTCTAGGAAAATTAATTCTAGGTAAAATTGTAAATTTCCACATGGAGGACCCAGTAAGGTTCTAGGTAGATTTCAGAAAAATCCCCGAGATCCAAGATCGACGTAAATTCCATAAATATTCCAAATCATTCTAAGGAGAACCTAACCTATAGTAAAACCACCCATTCCCCACATCTCCAGTTAAAATAACCCTAAAAGACCATTACAGAAATTAATTTTCAAAAATCTCCCTCACAGAAATTTAATTACCCTCTAATCTTCCCCTCTCCATAATCACAACTCCCCCAAATAAAACTCTGCAAACAAATTCGAATATTTTTATTTACATCCAACGAAGGATCGGGAGCAAAGGTTGTAACAGATCGCAGTCCACATGTGTACAGATTCGATGGTTTATTCTCACATGTACACGTACACGTGTGCGCAGAATCATATCCAGTGTGATCACTTATATACAATTTGGTGCGGGTTAACAGTTCCTTAGAATCGACGATCGTCACATCGAAGACGAGAAGCGAAGGGACAGGTTCTAAATCATTTTTTATGTACAATCTGTTCTACCAGCGTGACGTCTACACGGCTCGAGGACAGTTACAAAAATATATATTACAGAACCGGTAGGAGGGAAACGATCAACAGCGAAATCACATCTTGAATTTTAGAAGTCTCTCGGGGCTGGCTAATTCGAAGACGACACGAAACGAGGACGAAAATTTACTGCCACCGGAATCTTCAGTGTTTATTGCTCGACGTAGCGAGGGGGTACTCGCGCGGTTCCGTGCAGCATGCACTTCATCTTCTCAGGGTAGCTCTCTTTTCGCTGGTATCTGCGAGAGTAGTCGCAGAACTTGTCCATGTGCTCGGGAACCTCGTAGGCCATCGGCGACTTCGTGTCCCGCGGTTTACGCGGTTTTGAGTAGAGGGAGAGGTCGAAGTCCTTCGGGTTGTGACGCAGGCTGCAACCTGGCTCGTGACTTTCCGCCTCGTCGCCTGGAAAACGCGGGAAATCATCAAGTTAATAAATTAATGATAATTTGTGGCAATACTGTGTCATGACGATACTCGGTTATTACTCGTGGCAATATTTAGCTAAATCTTATAGGACGTTTGATTCATGCATTTCCCATTTAGTGATACATTTGAAGTATTTGACACTTAAGTGCAATTTGACAAATTTAACATTGACGTTGTAAGTCAAGTTTCATAATTGAGTAACAATCATGAATTTTAAAATCGCACATCACTCAAATCTGAATGACTTCAATTTTAATTGATCTTTTTTAATGAAGAGAACACTGAATGCTGAAACTTAATGTATTCTTCCTTTAATGAAGATGTGAATGTAACCTTCTAACCTTTTAACCTTTTAATTTTCTAACCTTCTAACCTTTTAACCTTCTGACCTTCTAACCTTCTAACCTTCCAACCTTCTAATCTTCTAACCTTCTAACCTTCTAACCTTCCAATCTTCCAACTTTCTAACCTTCTAACCTTTTAGCCTTGTGACCTTCTAACTTTCTAACCTTCTAACCTTCTAATTTACCGATAGGTCCTTTGGTAGGATTCCGATCATCAAATCGGTAGCCATCCTTCGGCAACTCGTCCTTCCGGTTGGCCACACTTCCACAGCGATTGCATCTCCTAGATCTTCTGATCTCTGGGTCTATTAGATCAATCTCCGGTTTCGTGCGAGCACGACGAGGCGACTGAACCGGTAACGCATCGTCATCGTATCGATCAGGTTTGGACCATCGATGATAGTCGATAGGCGATCGTCTCGTTGGACTCTTCAGGGAGGTTAGGACGAAGTCTTCATCTGATAAGGGCTCGGGTACCTCGTGCTCAGCCATGTTATGGTAATACCTAACGTACATGTATGCATATGTTACGTTGCAGTGTTAGTAGTATTAGTACTAGTAGTATACATAGTATTCATGTAACACATCAGATGTTCAATAAATAAAATAAAAGTGAAATAATAAAATGATCTTGATAAAATTGTTTCTACCTCCATTCACATATAAATTCTTAATTTTCTATTTAAATATAATTTAGTCAATTTATTGATGAAACTGTTTCTACATTACTTCTAATATTCATGTAAAACATCAAAAGTTAAATAAATAAAATAAAAGTGAAATAATAAAATAGACTCCATGAAATTGCTTCTACCTCCATCCACATATAAATCCTTAATTTTCTATTTAAATTTAATTCTGAAATTGTTAGATATGTAACCAGAAACAAAATAATAGAGAACTGAAGTTATTTTCTATCACAAGTATTGAGCTTTAAAATACTACTCAAAAATATGAGTTTCAAGGTTGAGTTTCACGAGTTTCATAAACTATTACCTGGGAGATGACGGGTGTCCAGCGAAAGCTAAATCCACATGTTGCTGGCAGCGAAATCTTCGTGGATCCTGCTCGACTGTTCTCCATCTTTGTTGCTTCAACGCGTCCTTTTTACTTACACCTTGACCTCTGTGCAGCTGCTGGGAAGTTAGAAATTCTTCTTCCGTTTCGTCGTCCCCCTCCTGACCTTCGTAATCCTTATCTAAGAATTCACCTGCCTCTTCGTGTTCTTCCTCTGCTGCAGTAATTTTCAAGGTTTATTTTTGGGGGTGTAGAAACGGGGATTTGGGAATAAGGGGTGGTAGAAATTTGGAGATGTGGGATTTTGGGAGATAGGAATTTAGGGAGATGGAAATTAGGAGATAGGAATTTAGGAAGATGGAAATTTGGGGATGTGGAAATTAGGAAAAGTAGAAATTTGAGGATGTAGAAATTCAGGACATAGGGATTTGGGGATATGGAAATTGGGGAAAATAGAAATTTGGAATATGGAAATTTGGGGGTGTAGAAATTTGGAGACATGAGAATTCGGGACATAGAAATTTGGGGATGTCGAAATTAGGAAAAGTAGAAATTTGGGGGTGTTGAAATTTGGGAACGTGGGAATTCGATTTGTAGGGATTTGGGAATATAGAAATTTGGGAATATCGAAATTGGGGAAAGTAGAAAACAGAAATTTGGAGACGTGAGAATTCGGGACACAGAAATTTGGGGATGTCGAAATTAGGAAAAGTAGAAATTCGGGGGTGTAGAAATTCAGGACATAGGGATTTGGGGATATGGAAATTGGGGAAAATAGAAATTTGGAATATGGAAATTTGGGGGTGTAGAAATTTGGAGACATGAGAATTCGGGACATAGAAATTTGGGGATGTCGAAATTAGGAAAAGTAGAAATTTGGGGGTGTTGAAATTTGGGAACGTGGGAATTCGATTTGTAGGGATTTGGGAATATAGAAATTTGGGAATATCGAAATTGGGGAAAGTAGAAAATTCAGAATATGGAAATTTGCGTATGTAAAAATTTGAAGAAGTGGAAATTTAGGAAATAGAAATTTCCATAAGTAGAAATTTGGGGAAATAGAAACTTTGAAATAACAGAAACTTAACTACACAAAAATTTAATAAAACAAAAATTAGAACAAAAAGAAAGTTCCAAAAATAGAAATTTACAAATACAGAATTTGGTCAAAGACATCTATAAAATCTACCCTACATAACTCAACTTAACCTAGCCAAAACCCAATACCTTCCTCATCAGCGTCCTCCTCAGCATTGTCCGTAAAGTTCTCCGACTCCTCATGAATATACTTCAATTTCTCATTATTCTCCACCTCCTCATCATACCTCTTCCTCCCCGGCGAGAACGTGGTATAATGCTTATCCCTGTTAGGTTTGCAGTGACCTTGATGATGGATCGCTTCAGGAGCGTGAATCGAGGCGCACTTCGAGTACGTCGGACTGGAACACGCGTGACTCCTCGGTTTGTAAGTAGTCGAAGAGGAATAGTAGCTTACCGCTTCCGGATTCCTTCAAACAACCACAATTACACAAAATCTACAAACTCTTAAATACAAATTTACCTTCTTCCAACAGGAAACGACTGACTCCTCCTCTGTGCGTACTTCCAGTACGAATCAGGCGAATCCTTGGTGTCAGAAAAGGATCGTGGCACGTACTTTGACTTTGAGTAATTCTCTACCTGTTTCATGCTTGCGATTTCGTCGTTCACCGTTCAGAAAAATAATAGTCTATTCACTTAATCAACAACAATTTACATGTCCTACTTCATCGTTCGATACACTTAATAAGTCACCGGATCTTCAGATCCGTCTCCACCAAGATCTGAAGAAACCTTCACTGAGCTCTTCACCTAAGCTCTGAGGACCACCTAAATGAGTCTCAGGTCCACTTCGAACACCATGTTCCACTACGGATCTAAGAACAAAAGAAGAACCGGAAACACAGGAAAAGGTGCCACAGCGACGTCAGAGTGCGTTCATTCTGCCAATCAGCATGAGCCGATTGTCGTGCAACGGAAGAAAGAACGGGGGAAAGGAGGAAACGAAGTGGTGCTTCTCGATCGAGGAACACGGTCGCTCTTCACCATTTGTCGGTCTCGTTGCTGTCCTCGTGTTCCAGCGACGAGTTCAACGTACGCTGGAACTCGTGCACTCGTTGACTCTGCTGCTCGTGGTGGTGTTTCCGCCACTTGATCCGTCGGTTCTGGAACCAGACCTTCACCTGGGCCTCGGTCAGCCTCAGAGCGTGTGCCAGGTACAATCTTTCAGGGCCCACCATGTACTGCTGGCGAGCGAACTCGCCTTCTAGCCGCTCTAATTGCTCCGCTGTGAAGATCGTACGGACCCTCTTCAGCTTACCGCCGCCGCTGGAACACGAACTCGAGCCGCCGTTCTTTGTGCTGCCTTCTTGACCTGCGGGGGGAAGGATTAGAGTTAGGTTTATTTAAGGGAATTAGGGTTTTTGCTTTGGGGTTCGAAGTCAGAGTTTGGGGTTCCAAGTCGGATTTCTGGGATCGAAGACAGATTTCAGGGTTCGAGTTTTGGAGATGCTGAAGAGTTGCGTTAGGTTTCTTCATTTTTACGGGAATTAAAGTTTTCTCATTGCGGTTCGAAGTCAGAGTTTGGGGTTCCAAGTCGGATTTCGGGGTTCCAAGACAGATTTCAGGGTTCGAGTTTTGGAGATGCTGAAGAGTTGCGTTAGGTTTCTTCATTTTTACGGGAATTAAAGTTTTCTCATTGCGGTTCGAAGTCAGAGTTCAAAGGTAGATTTCAGAGTTGATGTTTTAGAGATACTGAAGGGTTGTGTTAGGTTTCTACATTTTTAGAGGAATTAAGTTTACTTATTGGGGTTCAAAGTCACAGTTCAGAGTTCAAAGTCAGAGTTCGGGGTTCAAAGGCAGATTTCAGGGTTCGAGTTTTGGAGATGCTGAAGAGTTGCGTTAGGTTTCTTCATTTTTACGGGAATTAAAGTTTTCTCATTGCGGTTCGAAGTCAGAGTTCAAAGGTAGATTTCAGGGCTGATGTTTTGGAGATACTGAAGGGTTGTGTTAGGTTTCTACATTTTTAGAGGAATTAAGTTTACTTATTGGGGTTCAAAGTCACAGTTCAGAGTTCAAAGTCAGAGTTCGGAGTTCAAAGGCAGATTTCAAGGTTAGAATTTTGGATGAGATGCTGAAGACTTAAGAATAAAATGAATATTCTAATAGAACCCTCTTGAGCTACAACACAAAATATTCCCAAAATTATCTTCACTTTTAATCGAAAATAAAAATGAAGAAGAAGATCAAAATGTAGAAAAGAGGATTTCAAGGTTGCAGTTAAAAAAGAGATGCTGAAGAACCAGTTTTGAAAGAACATAGAAAATTCATAAACTTATTTATATAAGAGTAACAAGTTAGGTTAGAAAAATATCAGTTCCAGTTTCATACCTCGATAATACAGTAGGAGAAGCTATTACAATGTTGATTAAATATTGAGTAACAATTTGTGATGCAGCTAGTGTCTATCGAGATTAACAGAAATTTTGCAAACTATGTCAGCGATCGATACAACAAATTTTCGCCGGAACTGTCGCATTTGTTTTTGACGTACTCGTCTGAAGTTTGGTACTTACCTCGAAACCTTTTATGTCAAGGTTCTAGCAATAAATTAATACGAGTATAATACAAGAGTCTACTATAATTCATAACAGTATGGTTAATAATTTATCAAAATGAAAGAGAAATAAAATTATCAATTTTGAATTAAGAATGAATTATTTCTTGTCACATTTTCGTATTACAGCTAACTCTATCTTCTATTAATCTTTTCCACATTCTCAATAGCTCACAAATTCTAACCCTAATTCATCTACAAATAATCCTTCCACCATAATACATCCAACAATTCAACCATAATCTACCAACTTACAAATTAAAAATATCACATACCCAAATACCCAAACTCAAACACCCAAACTCAAGAACCTAATGGGCCAATGATCATAGCAGTCAAGGTCCACATAAAATCAATCAAAAACCTAAATGTTCTCTTCAGTAATAAAACATTTTATTCATACCCTGATGCTTCCTGTACTGCTGCTGCTGATTCCGTTTCTCCCTCGGATTATTCCTCAACCCCAGAATAGCATCAATGGTAAACGACTTAGCCTGCTGTTGTTGTTGCTGCTGCGAGTGCTGCATCTGAGTGATCGAATGTGGATGCGACAACTGCGTCGACAAATTCTGTGCCGAGAGTTCCGTCCCCAGAAGATGCGATCGTCGCATCCGTTCCAAAGCAATAGCCTCCAAATCCTGATTCCTCGGCTGCATCTGAATGTTCTTCAACTCATGATCCAAAATCGGAGGATTCTCCAGCAGACCCGCTCCTCCCCGCAGTCTCTCCAACGCAAAATTGCCGATGTGACCGTCCCTCATCCTGTCCAGCGAGAGATTGAACTCCTTCATTCGATCGAGGCTATAGTTCTTCAGGAGGCTAAAATCCTTGATGTCCTTTTCGGAAACCGCGAAGTTTAAATCCTTGCTGTACCTGTCCAACGACAGACCAGCATGAGCGTTCTTGTGTCTGTTTTCCCGGAGGTTGAACAGCAAGTCCTTGGCCGTCGGGTTCTTGGTCCTGCAGAGGCTGGCAGCTTCCATGGACTCGTCGTCGTTCGATCTGTCCAGGGGATACTCGTTCAACGTGTTGGCAATGTAACCGAAGTCCTTTCCTTTATTCAGCGTCATTGGTAGACTCCTGCTGGCATTCTCGAACTCCTCGAAACGGATGGAGGTCCTGCCAGGTTCCAACCGCAGGTGGAAGTCCTTGGGCTCTAACTGGGGGTCCTCCTTGCACTTGTCCACCGACAGATTCAATTCCTTGATGCGTTCGTAGTCCTGAAAAGCTCTGAGCTGCGTCTCCGAGTGGCTGCTCTCGCTCCTGCAGTCTGAGAGATCCTCGACGGTCAGTCGTCCCGACGGGTCACTGGGTTCCATGATTGCAGAACTCTCGCTGGAAGAATTGCAGTATCGTATTCGACGGACAATGTTCACTTAACAGTTCACCATCGTCGAGGGTGGTTCGCCACTGCGTGTCACAATGAAGCCGTTCCACGGAACCACAGTTCGCTCACTGACATCACGAAAAGTCACTCGGCGAGCTCACAGGTGCAAAACACGAGGAATCGAACTGGAACGACGACTAGGGCAGCAGCCTTTTCAGGATGGCCGAACCGCGCTGGCGCTGCACAGCGTCCCAGGATAATGATGTCAGGCACGAGGATCACCGCTATCAGAGAGGGTTGGCCAGCAGGACTAAGGATATCCGGCTAATGATCCCGTACGTGACGAGGGGGGTATTCACCCGGCAGTACCCCCCTCCCGGC